GTTTCCCGCTATTGTCAATCACAGGCAGTGAGCCAATGAGGATAAGGTGGGGGCTGTGCCATTCTCCGTGTATGAATGGACACAGAGTAATGGCTCGGGAGCTAGCCTGCTTAGGTGCTCCCATAGCAAGCTGCATGCTATGGGGCCACTAGGCAGGAGGGAGGGGCCTGGAGCACTGGCGGGGACTCAAGAAACCACTGAATAAAAAAAGTAAGTTTAACATGTTTGTTATTAAAAAAAAAACCCAAACTTTTAATGCCACTTAGGTAGCACGTTTAAGCATCTAAAAAGCACTTTTAAAACAAATACTGTAAAAACTGCTGCTTAACTCCCCCCAATATAGTGGAAAAGCTTACATTTAGCTAAAAACTATTATTATCCATACAACTTCCTTTAAAGAAGAATTTAACTCTTGCTTAAGAAAATGTAAAAGTCTGCAGCACTTACCAGCCCATGAAGTCTAGTGCTGTCCTCCCTTCAGTTGATTCTTGCCAGCATCTTGAATGTGGAAGCCGGATGTGCCTATTTCTCAGCATTGAGGACACAATTGAGCCTGACAAAATCTCCAATTCCATTTGCAGAAATTCCTCCCCAAACTTGCAACAAGGAACCTCCACCATGCTTCACTGTTGCTTGCAGACACTCATTACTGCTTTCCAGCCCTTTGCAAACATGCATAGGAAATGGAAACAAGGCTAAGTGACTCAACTATACATGAAAACATAGGAGTTGGTGCAGCAAAATGGCAGCAGGTGCTTTGGACTGATTAGTCAAAACTTGAAATATTTGGCTGTAGCAGGAGGCAGTTTGTTCATGAAGGGCTGAAGAGCAGTACAATAATGAGTTTCTGCAGGCAACCATGAAGCATGGTGGAGGTTCCTTGTTGCAAGTTTGGTGCTGCATTTCTGCAAATCGAGTTGGAGATTTGGTCAGGATCAACGGTGTCCTCAATGCTGAGATACAGGCAAATACTTATCCATAATACCATACCATCAGGGAGCCATGTGATTAGCCCCAAATTTATTCTGCAGCAGGACAACGACCCCAAACATAGAGCCAATGTCATTAGGAACTATCTTCAGTGTAAAGAACAAGGAGTCCTAGAAGTGATGGTCTGGCCCCCCAGATCCCTGATTGCAACATAAAGTCTGTCTGTCTGGGATTACATGCAGAGACTGAAGGATTTGAGGCAGCCTACATCCACAGGGGGTCTGTGGTTAGTTCTCCAAGATGCTTGGAACAACATACCTGCTGAATTCCTTCAAAAAGTGTGTGTAAGTGTACCTAGAATTAATGTAAGTTAGGGACCTTAGATTGTACGCCCCTTGAGGGTTAGGGACTGATGTGAATGTACTATATATAGGTATAGCGCTGTGTAATTTGACAGTGCTGCTATATAAGTACCTGAAAGAAATAAAAAAAAAGAATTGATACCGTTTTGAATGCAAAGGGTGGTCGCACCAAATTTTGATTTGGATTTCTCTTCTGTTAATTTACTTTCCATTTTGGTAATTGATAAAATTATAATTAACACTATTATTTCTGAAAGAATTCCTAATCTACAGCATTTTTTCACATCTATCAAAGTCTTTTACACAGTACTGTATGTAATGCAAAAAGCAGTGTACTGCTGACATCTAGTGTTCATTTAAAAGAATGTTCAAAAAATCATACGTACACTGGCAGAATTGGAAATTCTATAGCTTTGTAATTGAGTACATGCTGAAGCCAAGCATTTTTTTTTTCAGTGAACATTGCAACATTGCAAAGGTTTCTCCAGCACCAAGTCTAGCTTGCAAGCACAGAAAACCCAACTATGCAGTGTTTCTAATGTTTAGATTTAGAAACAGGATTTTTGTTGTGTATATTGGATGTCATATTGTCAAAGGGACCTATGAAATTGTGGTCCCTAACTTTAAACGAAGTTTGGAATATAAATATATATAGCCACCAACCAATCTCATTCAGTAGAGGACAAATTAAGGGACTTGGTTGGTCATTCAATTGTCTTGTCTAGAAAAACACACAAAGGAAGATACTTCTTAAAGTAAACCAAAACAAACAGAGCAATCTAACTCAATACAAAACTGCTCATGTGATGGACTGATGGGGTTAGCAGTATTTTGGGCATCTCAGCTATGGCACTTGCTAAATAAATCCTCCTTGCACTGTGCACTGGATGTCCTGGTTGTGGTGTTTATTTCTGGGTTTGAGTTAAATCCTTGTTAGACAACCATTTTACTGTGTTCTCAGCATATATGGCAATAAAATGTACGCTGCAGTGATCACAGTATATTCCAAGTATGATTATGCATATTTCTGAGTAATACCTCAAAACAAGTTGGATTATAAAAGTTTGTTTCCCTAAGGAAGAGGAGGAGTCTTACCTCAAAACACAAATAAAGCAGCAGCTATGTTATACTTCTATACTATGAATGGACCACTGATTTGAGGAGTCTTGGGGTACAGTACTATACAGTGGATCTGAGTCCCCATACAGGTAGTGGTGTAAGTGGCACTGAAGGGCAGGGGAGTTGAAAATGCAGGCAGCGAGTGTATTCAGTCAGTAGACCATTGGTGTCATCATGGAAACAATACAGCTGTTCTAAAGTCAAAATCCAGCAAACATGGTGATTATCATAGCTTTTGGAGATTAGACAGATACGCTAAATGTCAGCCCATGTGGCTCTTGGATCACTTTGGAGACCTCACCCATCCTCCCAAGTGATTGGTCTGAAAAGTTCTGTTAAGAGCTGGAGGAAGAAGGCTATAAAAAGTGCCAGGGGTCCACGGGAACCAAGCAGATTTCAGGAGTGGGTGGGGGTGGTGTGGGGACTGAAGAAGGCTCACTCAATACACCGCAGGTAAAGCATGATGATAAAACACAAGCTCTGGGTAGTTGGGCCATTTATCTGTTTTTATAGTTTTATTTATTTATTTTTTTTTTAAACGATTTTTTGACTTCTAAATTTGGTGATTACATCAGTGTTATAATAACATGAAGCTTAATGAATTAAACAACAAATATGTAATTGATGGTAGCTTGTATCAATATACAGCCATCAGTTCAGGCCTGTCTTGAAAACATAAACGTGGTTGTTGATGGAATAAGCAGAAAGAAAAGCACCGGCTTCAGAAAGAACACTTCCAGTGAACCTGTAAGGTATTTGAATTTTCACTGCAGTGGATTACACAAAACTCTCTAGACCAGTGGTTCTTAACCTTTCTAACGCCGCGACCCCTTAATACAGTTCCTCATGTTGTGGTGACCCCCAACCATAAAATTATTTTCGTTGCTACTTCAGAACTGTAATTTTGCAGTGGTAGGAATAGTGCCCCATCATTGGTATCAGTGGGAGGAATAGTGTCCCATCGTTGGTATCAGTGGGAGGAATAGTGTCCCATCGTTGGTATCAGTGGGAGGAATAGTGCCCCATCACTGATGTCAGTGGGAGGAATAGTGACCCATCGTTGGTATCAGTGGGAGGAATAGTGTCCCGCCATTGGTGTCAGTGGGAGGAATAGTGCCCCATCGTTGGTATCAGTGGGAGGAATAGTGTCCCATCGTTGGTATCAGTGGGAGGACTAGCGCCCCATCACTGATGTCAGTGGGAGGAATAGTGCCCCATCGTTGGTGTCAGTGGTCAGTGGAAATAGTGCCCCATCGTTGGTGTCAGTGGGAGGAATAGTGCCCCATCGTTGGTGTCAGTGGGAGGAATAGTGCCCCATCGTTGGTGTCAGTGGGAGGAATAGTGTCCCATCGTTGGTGTCAGTGGGAGAAATAGTGTCCCATCGTTGGTGTCAGTGGGAGAAATAGTGCCCCATCGTTGGTATCAGTGGGAGGAATAGTGTCCCATCGTTGGTGTCAGTGGGGGGGAGGAATAGTAGTGTGCCCCATCGTTGGTGTCAGTGGGGGGAGGAATAGTGCCCCATCGTTGGTGTCAGTGGGGGGAGGAATAGTGCCCCATCGTTGGTGTCAGTGGGGGAGGAATAGTGCCCCATCGTTGGTGTCAGTGGGGGAGGAATAGTGCCCCATCGTTGGTGTCAGTGGGGGGAGGAATAGTGCCCCATCGTTGGTGTCAGTGGGGGGAGGAATAGTGCCCCATCGTTGGTGTCAGTGGGGGGAGGAATAGTGCCCCATCGTTGGTGTCAGTGGGGGGAGGAATAGTGCCCCATCGTTGGTATTAGTGACACAAATGATGGGGCACTATTCCCCACTGACACCAATGATACTTACCTTGCTGACCCCTGCTCCAGCCTGGGCTCGCTCTCTCCCTCTCCCATCTACAGCCTGCAGAAGCAAAATTTGCACTTACCTGTCAGCTGTCTTCCTTCTCTGGCCTCCCTCCTCTTCACTCGGTCCTGCAGCTCCCTCGATCTTCTTCGATCTGCGCGCTCTGCCGCTCGGCTCCTCCTCTCCAAGCTCCACCTCCTCGCCGGTGATTGGCCGCCTGTGTGCCTCTCCTGAGCTACAGTTCCGGTGGCCAATCAGCGGCGAGGAGGCGGAGCTGTTGAGTGATCCCGGAGGTGTGGCCAGGTTACAGGGGCAGCATATCATCCCGCCCACAGATCGTGAGACAGAGCAGCGGTGTCTCGGTTCCTAAGACCATCGGAAATATGTTTTCCGATGGTCTTAGGCGACCCCTGGGAAATGGTCGTTCGACCCCCAGGTTGAGAACCGCTGCTCTAGACTGTATCAGCGGTAGTGATGTCTGTAAAGTATTAGCAGCTCACCTATTGGTTTATCATGTTCCCTGGAATTGCTCTTTTATATCTTGCACAAGGAATTTCTCCCAGAGGTTTCTTCTGCTCACATTGAACTCCAGTCTGAAGTCGGTGATGAGAGAGTCATGCTAGAGAAACTCAGTAGAATGCATGGTATATTATTATCCATGACCTAAACCCAACACCCTTAGCCCAAACGTGAACGCTATGTGAAAACATTTTTTTAAAAATGTAAAAATGATGAATCTGAACAGTTTTCTGCTATTTTATCCTAGGGGCGTATACACCAGAGCCACTCTGTAACTTCTGGTGGGCAATTCTGGCAACCGGTCTCATGTTTTTCTACCACTTCAGCCTTCTCCAGATACTAGGCTTGGTAAGTGTGGCGTTGAACTATCACTGTACAGTATGTATAAACATAATTCATGTTTTAAGTGAAACTTCTTGTTACTGGTCTCTTGACCATTTGTGAGATATTTTTTTTTAGTCACATTTATTATGCGGTTTCCCTGACCTATCCCCAGCTTCTCCCATGTATATCCACTTTTTACACACAGAAGGTGGGCATTAAAGTGAGCCCATTGCTTTCCTCTGTATGAGCCCCACGTCGGGATATAATCATCCTCCATCCAATTCACCGGCCTCTTAATTCCTTTACTAAAAAAATAAATAATAATAAAAAAAAATTACCAACCCTATCAAAAAGCTTTTTATTTATTTATTTTTAACTTATCTGTAGCTTTTTTGCTTACTACTTCCACGGGTCCTTCTTCAGGTGTCCACATTACTGCCAGCCTAATATGGACACTTCCTACTGAATGGCCAGCAGAGTCCCCCCAGGACAGAGAAGAGTGATGTCAGTGGAGGGGAGTTGAGGGGGCCGACATTCTCAGGGGGCCTTTACAGCACTGGATAAATGGTCCCCCCCCCACCCTACAGAAATGGCAGCGATGTGAAACCTGGGTGAGGGACTTGGGTAAGTATAGATGGCTTCCTAAGGTAAAGAAAAGCTTAGCAGGATAGCTTGGAGGGGCTGGATGTGAGAGGTGATGAGATAGATTTTTGCCCAAAGAGAGGCTTTACTGCTGTCCCCTATAGAGCCCTTGCCTTCAACCCCAACCCCCAAACTTTTAACCAAACCCTGAAATGTAACACTTAAAAGACACCTGTGATTAAATAATAGAAATAACTTTCCCGCTGTATCTAATTTTTGTTGGCTCTCTGTTTTTACTTAGATGACAGAAGTAAATCTAAACAACATGTTGTGCCCAGCTGTGTCTGACCCCTTCTATGGACCATGGTATCGTATATGGGCATCAGGACACCAAACCATCATGACCATGATCCATGGGAAGTTGATTGTTGCTTTGTTCTCCTCTGGCTCTCCACGCTTTAAGTTCTTGGTGGAGCGGTTTCCTTTTTCAGGCAAGAAAGTGGATTGATAAGCCACTACAGGAGTGGCCCAGCTTCAACTTTTTCTCAGCCAAAACTTGTACACAACTGGCATTCAGAAGTTAACAGGGCTACCAACCCTTTCATTATTAACCAGTGTTAAGGACTTCCAGGTGCCTAAACAAGTGACCTTACAGAAAGGGCCAGGGTGTCAAATATGCTTTTCATTTGTAACTATTTCTAACAATTTTGCTGCATTATGAGCCAAACTGTACACTAGGCAGCATTAGGTGAACATTTTATGAGGGCTAAGGTGGCCATTCATCTTCGCACAGAGATCCTTCTGACTTGGTTTCTAGCTTGGCAGTGCAGTCTGTTACAAGAACTGATGCTTTTATTTATGATGATTATTGGGGAGTTCAGCACAGCCCATAGCAAGTCATTTTTCTCTGTCTAGACTGTGGGCCTGCAGTGTTAATGCTATTGTTAAATCTATTCTGATTTTAAAGGTTGTCTGAATGACTAATGCGCTAAGGGATCCATTTTCCATACATTTTAAAGGCATACACACACCTAGAACTAAGGGCACTTATATTCAAAGTGTATTGCTCTTGGACCCAACTAGAGGACACATCTCTGGATATGTGTTTTATCACTTACAGTGGGGCAACTTGAGACTGACTTCAGGAAACGAAAATGTTTCTATTGTCCGATGAGACTAAGGTGTTTCTTCTATTGTTTGCCAGTGCTAGGAAATGGTTACTAGAGTCTGGCTGTTTACTCTTTTTATTTCCTTCTGTGTAGTTTAAAATGCCAACATATTTTTTATTTTAATATTTGCCTGCATTATTATATTTTAATCTGTACCTCCTTGTCAAATGTAATTCTTATGGGATACTGCCATAGTTATATCCAACCCCAGTTACAGAATGTTCTCTGCCACTATGTGCCATCATTATGTCATTATGACCTGTTCTTCTACTACATGTTATTGGTTCTGTGTTCTCTGGTAAATGTTGTCTGAGTATTGTAAGGAAGAGTAATGATTTGTCATAGAAAGCTTGTTGAGCAGCAGCTTGTTGCACTTTATGCTTGTAGAATAATGACCACAAGATAATGACCACATCACTTCTTATATTGAGTGCTTTTATCGTCAACTACTGCTGTCTTAAAGAGGAACTGAACTGTGAACGCCATGTCCAAAGAAGACAAGCTGTGCTTAAGGGACCAATCACCAGTATTGCCTCAGTTTTCATTGCAGCTGATCTTTTTCCATTACTGATATAATGGGGGAAAGATCAAGGAATTTTATGTCATATTAATGTTTCAAATGAATCTCTCATTAAGAAAAGGGAGGAACTGCTAATAGGTTCAGCGATAACTATATCGGCAAATGTAAATAAGAGTTGCTGCAGAGAATATCAGCTGCTTTGAATGGACAAAGCTGCCCAGCCCATTATTGGGAATGGGGATGGAGGGAGAAACAGGCAGGCTTTATTACTACAAGGAAGGGTTAGAGCTTTGGCCATTCAGAATTTCTGGTATTCAGATGTGAATGAGAGTCACTGAAAATATGAGCAGGCACCTTGAGGTACAGAGTTTCTTTAAAGAAACCTTGAATGGTGCCATAGCTGATATTGCATTCTGCCAATGCTAGTTGCTTGCTTGTCGTAGTGACCCTCTGGCTTCAATACTTTAAAAAGGCTGTAAACCTCAGACAAGAAATCTGAAAAAAAGCATATCTCTCTATAGTGTGTGTGTGTTTTTTTTTTTTAAACCCTGACAAGATTTATAAATTCAGCTCTTTGAATGGATGTAGAGAAGAGAGTATTGCAGATAGACCGACAGGTACAACGTTTATATAGGAGGATTTGTTTAACCTCTGTGTATCTCCTGAGGTCAGTCACTTCATTGGGTATATGTAAAGGTTTCCATCCACTTTAAAGCAAAACAGGATCCTGACCACCTAGTCTTTATAGATCACTGTCCTAATGTGCAGTTAAACATTAAGAAATTTATGAAAATAATACCGTAAATGTATGTTTCTGCACCTTTCCTAGGTGGGGGTTGGACATGGGCAGGCACCACATGTCACATCTGCACAGGGAACAATTAAGCAGTACTTTTTTTTTTTCCCCATGTTTCAATGTGAAATTCAGGAAACGGTGGGCATTTTTGTTGTGGCTCTGAGAACTGACTCTGGATTACATGCATCGCAGTCCTAGATGGATATTTTAACAGGATTTTTACATTTAAATAGACAATAAAAACATGAAAATTTCTGAAGCTTGCTTACCAGTCCCTCAAAGACTGCTTCTATCTGGGACTGTGAGGGGCAGCTCCGTAATAAGAGCCGCTTCAGCCTAGCTGCCAATTTAAAGGATGTGGGTGGGTGCAATCAGCACAGCACCCATCTTTTTGACTGGCAGCCATGTTATTCGCTTCTCTTGCCAATCAAGAAATGTAGATGGGTCATGATCAAGTGCTGTGCCAATCATACCTGCCCACAGAAGAAAGCTTTATGTAACCAAGCACCCTTGCTGTTCTGAAAACTACTTCTGGGAGGAAATGCAACTGTGATGCCCAGCCACACATACAGGAAGACCAGGAACAAAGACTGAATAAGGGCATAAAATGGACTGTAGGAAGAAATGGATGATCGTTTTTGAAAAGGAAGGCAGGTACCTTTTATTTGATTTTAAAGTTGATCTCCAACCAAGAGGATTATAATACGATCTCTCATTCAAAACAAGAATGGAGCTAAGTGGTTGTGACTGATTTGCTGATCTTATTTGTTTCAGTTCAGTGACTCAAAGTATTGAAGCCAGAGAGTTAGCAAAATAATCAGGCTGCTTGCATTTTCTAGAGGTCATCACTATCCACCTCAGTGTTTGTCTTGCCTTACTAGCCAGTGACAATGGGGACATGCAGTTCCTGGGCAGTTAACATAAAACTTTCTAACAAAGTACTGACGCCTTGGCCAAGTAGTGCTTGTACAGCATTAGTAAAGCAAAGCATTCTCTGCTGTTTTCAACTAAAGAGTACATATACTAAGCATTATTCATAAATTAAACATTTACATAAGATAGCCCAGTACAATGTTTTTAAAAATGCAATGTTTTCTGTAAAAACTTATTTTTTTTTTTTGGCCAGGAATTTTAGATCCTATGTTTGGCCAGTTTTGACCTGCCAGTTTTAAATTTTGTCTTTGGTCCCTTTTCTTCTTGGCTTAGACCCACTCACTGGAAATACATTCCCATGATGCAATGAGTCTCCCTATTCTGATCCAACAGCAGCGTGCTGTCAGTGGTCACTATCCAGACCTAGCTTTACAATCTGCTGGTGGGAATCCCACAAGACATATCTGGGGCCCACAGGGTGTTGGGAAAAAAAGTCCAATTGAGTTCTACTGAAAAATATATTTGGCATGTCAAAATGTCATGGTGATAGTTGGAATCCCGTTGGGTGCCTTCTATGAATGTGGCAGGAGTAGGTCTCTCCCTGGAGGTACAGTAATAAAACTTTGAGACCCAGTTTAAAGTTCAGTAACATGACAGGCTGGCATTGCCCCATTGTTAACCTCTCCCTCTAAAAATGCTAGTTTCTTCTATAGTTTTAGTATATCATAAAAATGCAGCGCTATGAGTAAATGAGGAACTGATACATATATCAATACAGTAAGTAAAGAAGTTAGTCCATGCAGCAGTTAATAATGTGACTTCAAGTGCTTTCCTTTAATTCGTATTATCCTGATATTCAGGCGTTGTGCGGAATGGTGCAGAAGAAATGTGCACTCACCAGAACGCACAGATAAATGAGCGTTTGTTAAACATAGGTTCCCCTCTGGAACGTTAGGAAAAGGTCTGTAAGGCGATAACCTCCCTTCAGGATTCCTGGGTGCTCCTGTTTGTTCCCTCAGTAGGTGGCTTGCGGACTTCTCCTTATAGCACGCCCCTTGTCCAGTAGATGGATGAGTGGCTGAAAATTGATGCTCCCCCCAAAGAACATCCCAAAATAAATTCTCCTCCTCTTGACGATCACAGTGATACCCACATATGTGTATGTTAGTTGTGGTTTGTACCTCTTGCCCCTCCTCTCTACACCACTCCACTCAAGCTGCAAGAAAATGGTGGCGCAAAGCGAATTGCGCATGCGCCACCATTTTTCTTGCAGCTTGAGTGGAGTGGTGTAGAGAGGAGGGGCAAGAGGTACAAACCACAACTAACATACACATATGTGGTATCACTGTGATCGTCAAGAGGAGGAGAATTTATTTTGGGATGTTCTTTGGTGGGGAGCATCAATTTTCAGCCACTCATCCATCTACTGGACAAGGGGCGTGCTATAAGGAGAAGTCCGCAAGCCACCTACTGAGGGAACAAAAACAAACAGGAGCACCCAGGAATCCTGAAGGGAGGTTATCGCCTTACAGACCTTTTCCTAACGTTCCAGAGGGGAACCTATGTTTAACAAACGCTCATTTATCTGTGCGTTCTGGTGAGTGCACATTTCTTCTGCACCATTCCGCACAACGCCTGAATATCAGGATAATACGAATTAAAGGAAAGCACTTGAAGTCACATTATTAACTGCTGCATGGACTAACTTCTTTACTTACTGTATTGATATATGTATCAGTTCCTCATTTACTCATAGCGCTGCATTTTTATGATATACTGGTTTTCTAGGGTGTTTGGTTACCTTATGTTCAGCGGCTATTCATTTTCCTATAGGGGCGCTCGTTTATAACTCTTTTACCATCTTCTATAGTTTTGTCTTTGGCTTCACTAGCAGCACTGTTGTTTTGGGCTTTGTGATTTGGAGCCAAATCCAGTCAGGCTGATTTACAACTGCTGCTACTGGAGCTAATATCAATGGCAATAGTTGTTAACAGCAGGCAGTTTTGTCTTCTACTAACTTGCTAAATTTTTCCCAAAGGATGCCACGGGACTGCTGGTTTGTTTTGTTATGATTGATGCTTACGTTATACCGGAACTCATCAAAATCTGTTTTGCAGTACAGATGCATCCACACTCCATCAGAATTATTT